AATATTTTGTTTGCAAAAAAAGGGTTTGAGCGCATTGTCAAAAAAAAATACTATCCTCCAAATTTTTTATGAATACGTTCACGTGGTTTGGTGCCATTTTGTACCCATTGCTCTACCATTAGATTGAAGATAATGGTCGTCGTCAAATTCGAAATTATTTAAAGTTTTGAAAGAGTCTCGTAATCGACAAGTTTTTTTTTTCTTTTTTTTTGTGGTTGTAGGCAGCAACCGTAGCCTGAATGCTATCCGCACGCAGTATGTTGGTTTGGAGGGAAGATACATCTAAGGTTACCAATAGTGCATTTGGGGAAGTCTACTTCCGAGATAAGATTTAGGAGGATGTGTCGTGTCTTTTATGTATGAATTAAAAGTTTCGGGGGGATTCTGTATGAGTTCACATTTAAGTCACTGTGCTATTGGACGAGACAATAGGTCGGCCTGGGCGTCCTGGTTTGTAGATTTTGAGTAGGACATAAAAACATCCTAGTTTGAAGTCGGAGCGAGAGAGAAAATTTAAAGCGTGGTTGTCTATTTTTGTCATTTTATGTAAGCCCTTTGGTTGTAGATCGGCCACGCCCCCACAAGCACGGTGGCATTTGCCATCTCTTTACGTCTTCTCTCTCTTTTTCACTCTTGCCTTCCCCTTTCCTGTCTACCATATAAGCGCAAGCTGTGCAGGAGTAAACGTTGTTGGTTACTAGCCGCTATCCTCATGTTTTCTGCGACGACGTAACAGTGGCGACGACGATGCGATAGTATATCTTCCGCTGCTCTGCCCGGCAGACGTGGTCAGCGATGCAATTCCGCCGCAGTTCGACGAAGCCGTCGACAAATGGCCCGCCTACCAAATTCGACTGGAGGCGTTCTTCGAAGGCAACGGGGTGATAGACGTGAAGAAGAAACGCGCCTTGCTCGTCGCAGTGCTGAGCACAAACACTGTGGACGTCTTCAGCGGACGCTGTGCTCTATCAAAGGTTATGAACTTCCGTACAGCGAAGTGGTCGACCTTCTGCAGCAACATTTTTCGCCAAGACTGAACGAAACTGCCCAGTCGTACAAGCTCTTCTTGCGCAACCAGCTGCCGGGGGAGCCGGTAAGAGACTTCGTTTAGGCCATTCGACAAATAGCGGACACGCGCAACTTTGGAGACACATTGGACCGATTGCTGAAAGATCCGATAGTCTGCGGTCTCCAAAATTCAATGGTCCGTCAACAACGTTTGGCCAAGCCGTTCTCGACGATAACCGAAGTCGACGAAATCGCCGTAGCAGCAGAAATCATCATCATCATTTATTAAAACTTTGAAGGCCATTGCTGGCATTACACAAGGTGGGTGTAACTGCTGAAAAAACATATAAAGGAACAAACAAAAAAGTGGGTTACATGCTGGAAAACATTGTTATATAAAGCAGCAAAAACAGAAGAAAAAAAAACAAAAAAAAAACACACACACACTTAAAACATTTTTAGGGAAAAACAGCTGATGAAACAGAAAAATACCCAAATAAAACATTTCTATAAACACGATTTGACTTTGCTATTAGTGTAAATGCAGATGGATGGTCAGTTGGGATATAAAAGTATTATAATCTGTCTGGGTCACGATACTGTTAGGCAGGCTATTCCAGTCCGTTATTGGGAATGGCAAGGTGGAGTAAAGAAACGAAACTGACGATGCGAAAATTGGACGAACTTTACAGACGTTATCAATGCGAGGAAATATACGAGTGGCTGGGGATAATAGTGAAGTTCTGATGTCATGGTTATGATAGTAAATCTTGTGAAAAAGAGACAGGCGTGATAATTTCCTTCTGGTTGAGAGGAGATCAAGGTTAGCTTTCATTCGTAAAGAAGTGATGCTGGTGTCTCGTGAATAATCTGAAAAGATGAATCTGATTGCGCGATTTTGAAGTGCCTCTATCTTTGTTATCAATGAATGTTGCCAAGGGGACCAGATGGATGACGCGTATTCAAGTTGCGATCTTACGAGTGTAGTGTAGGCTAGTTGTTTAACTGATGATGGTGCTAGTTTCAGATTCTGTCGAAGATACCCAAGAGAGCGATTAGCATTAGACAGGACGTGTGTTATATGCGTGTTCCATGAGAGATCGTCAGATAAGTGAACACCCAGATATTTGTAAGATGGACACTTGGTAATTACCTGGCTGCACATGGTGTAAGTGAAAGAGAGAGGACTATGAGCACGCGTGAAGGAAACGAGATTTGTTTTAGAAAAGTTAATTGTCATTTTCCACTGTTTACACCAGTCGGCTATTAGGTTAAGGTCAGCTTGTAGGGTTATGTTATCGTTCAGGTTAGATACAGATCAATAAATTACGCAGTCATCAGCAAAAAGTCGAATACAGGACGTTATGCGATCTGGTAGGTCATTTACAAATGTTAAAAAAAGCAGAGGTCCGAGAACACTCCCCTGGGGGACTCCGGATGACACAGGAGAATAAGCTGACGACTGGTTGTTAATAACAGTATGCTGAGTACGATTGGTTAAAAATTGTCCTATCCATGATGTTACGAGTGGATGAATGTGAAGTTGGTTTATCTTGAGCATGAGTAAACTGTGGGATACCTTATCGAATGCTTTAGAAAAATCAATGAATATGGCGTCTGTCTGTATGTTATTATCGATGTTACTGTGTATTTCATGAACAAGTTGTACAAGTTGCGTTTCGCAAGAATATGATTGTCTGAACCCGTGTTGGTTTGGAAAGAGGATGAGGTTATTTTCGAAATGCTTCATGACATTTGAATATATTATGTGCTCAAGTAGCTTGCAGGGGACACTGGTTAGAGATATAGGACGATAATTTGATGGTGAAGTTCGATCCCCCGATTTGTGTATGGGGACCACTCTGCCAATTTTCCAATCTGTAGGAAGCTCGCCGGAAGACAAAGATTGTTGGAAGATTATTAACAAGAAACGAGCTGAGTGTAGTTTAGTGTTTTTCAGTAATTTGGAATTAATTTTGTCGTCCCCAGAACTCGACGACAACTGTAACCTTTCTATAGAGCTTATGATACCTGCATACGTTATTTCAATGGCAGCCATGGGAGTGTGATATGCGTTGTTAAGATGAGGCATGCTACTGTGGTCATCTGTGGTGAAGACTGAGGTGAAATAGTCGTTAAGACAGTTGGCGCTTTCTTCATCCGATAATGGCAACCGATCATCGCTCATTAGTTGTACAGGTCTAGACGTTTTTGGATTAATTACCTCCCAGAACTTTTTAGGTTTATTGCGAAGAATGTTTACTAAGTCATTGTTAAAGAATTTTGCCTTCGCCTCTGTAATAGATTTCTTATAAATTTTAGCAATGTCATTGTACTGTTCCCAAGCGAGATCGGTAGTCAGTTGTTTGACACGGCTAAATAGTCTTTTCTTTTTTCTGTTTAGTTGGTTAAGCGTTTTTGTGAACCAGGGATTTGATTTGTCACAAGTTAGGTTTATTGATGGGATGTAAGTGTCGGCAAGGTAGGCAAGTTTATTTCTGAAGAGAATCCAGTTTTCATCAACTGTCCTGCTCATACAGCCATGCTGAAAACTATCGAAAAATATTTCAAGCTCATTGTTAATTGCGGAGTAATTAGCTTTATTATAGTCTTTAATGGTTTTAAAATATGGTGATTTCCGCTGAGTTTCAAATTCAATGTTGAAATGAATTAGGTTGTGGTCACTAATGGGTGGGTGGTATGTTATATTTTTAACAAGTGTAGTGTCAGTAGTGAGGCATAGATCTAAAATATGACTTGTTCTTTGGGTTGATCTGGTAGGTTGAGTAATCAGTTGCGATAGATTAAATGTAAGACATGTGTCTACGAGTTCTCCTGAAATATGAGTCGAGAACAAAAGAGTATCCCAAATGATGTCAGGACAATTGAAGTCGCCTAAGAGAATGCATGATGCGTTTCGGGATTGGTTGAAGATGAAAGAGAGCGCGTCATGAAGCTTATCAAAAAAACCATTAACAAAGTCGGGCGGTCTATAGCACACCCCAAGGAAGATACACGCGGAGGGGGAATGCAGCCGTAGCCATACCATTTCAAGGCAAGTAGGAATTTGAACAAAGGAAACTACAATATGATTCCGTACAGCAATTAGTACTCCACCCCCACGTCGGAAGTCTCTATCACACCTATAAATATTGTAATTAAAATTCGTGGGAAGCACTTCAGAGTCTTTTATGTCAGGTCTTAGCCATGTTTCCGTTAGGAAAACAAAGTCGGCAGCACAAGAGTCAGTTAATAAATGAAGGTCTTCACGCTTTGGCAGTATACTTCTTATGTTAGTGTAAAGTACAGAAAAAGAACTTTTTTTTTTTTAATCTGGGGGCACTGGGGTGAGTCTCGATCACACAGATGTTATGGATGCTTGTTTTCCACAACCCTCTTGCTTTCAGGGTCATAAACAAAAATCTGCGCTCCGATCGAAAGTTTGTTAAATTTTAGTATAAACGGTTTATTTTGGGGCCTGGCAAACTGTAGGAGTTCTCGACGAGCTTCACGCACGGCAGGGGAAAAGTCTTCTCCTACAGAAAACGTGGTACCCTTGAACTTGTAAGCTTTCCCTAGTATTAGGTCCTTTTGCTTTGTTGAGCAAACCTTCACAATGATAGGGCGTTTTTTTATTCGGGCCGAAACGACCAATCCTGTGGGCGCGTTCAATGATGCCAGGTTCTAATGGTAAACCAAGTTGCGCAGAGCAGATATCGAGAACAAGCTTTTCTGACTCAGCCCAGGTCTCCCCCTCTTTGTCTGATGATCCATAAAAAGCAAGTTTGAGCGCCGCTGTCTGTTCTCGCTATCCTCGCAACGCGTCCCCAGAACATTCAACTCACGTCTGACGTTTGACAGTGCTTGAGTAGCTGCGGTGATTTCTTTTTTTACATCCGGTATGACAGTCTGGTGCGTCTCAAGGGCTGCCACCCTAGCTGATAATGATGCAACAATAGCGTCACTTTTGTTTAGGTCTTCTCGAAGTTGTCTCAGAGTGACAAGCACTTCCGCCTGACCTTTTTCGAGGCCTTGAACACTGGACACTACAAGATTTAGTTGCTTTTCTTGTTCTTTTGACATTGGTCCAGGATTTTCCTCGATGTCACCGGAAAGGAGTAGCTGTAGAGCTCTAATCTTCTGAGTTACAAAGCAATGGACAGAAACAATGAATGTGTATGCTTGGGTCGGGCACGACACCGCAATCAAAAATGGGTTATCGTCTTTGTAACATTCAAGGTGTGATGGACCAACCTGAAGTAGAGGGAACCGTAAGGCCAGCATTCCAATGGCGGTGTCGTGCCTCGAATGACGGTTTGGTGGAAGCCAGTCAAGCGGTCCCGCGCCTCTTATCGATGACCATGGTTGCACGCCCAAAAGCGAGTGTACGTCCGTTCCCGGCGAAATGGTCGCCGCGAAGAAGGCTGGCTGGTAGGTGCTCGTCTTGTTCAGCGCTTCGGGCTCCAGACTGTATCCGTCGATGGTAGTCGTCGTTCCTCGTAGTGCCCTCGGCGCCGTTGACAGCAAGGTGGACAGCAAGGTGCTCTGGAACACCTGAAGTAGAGGGAACCGTAAGGCCAGCATTCCAATGGCGGTGTCGTGCCTCGAATGGCGGAAGAAAATGTCAAGGCAATGCGACGCGCCATGACAGAGGATGGGGGCGTGCACGCCGTGGGGAGCAGGACGGCAAGGCAGAAATGGCGGTAAACTGAGTCACCGTGTTCCAAGTGTGGCAGAGGGGGACACCAACCAGACCCGTGCCATTTTCGGTCAGCGCAATGCTACAACTGCTACCAACGAGGTCATATCTTCAAGGCTTGTTTCCCTCGCACCGACAGACCAGTCACCGCGTCAATAAGGCCAACCCAACAGCACGTCAATGCAATGGCCCCGCGGGGTGAGCAAGAGTGGGATACCAGCTCCGAGGGCCTGTTCATGTTGGGGGAGTCAATGGAACACGTCGGGCACATCCAAACCACTCAGCCTATTGCGCGTGCCTTCGACTCGGGGGGGGTGCCTGTCAACATGCAACTAGATACGGGGTCTCCGGTGTCATTCTTCGCGTGGCCTACCTCCTACATGCCCCGCAGGGGGCACCTGTGAAAGCAGGTGTTTGGAGAGTGGCGTCTCCACAAACCCCGAGCCCCGCAGGGGGCGCCTGCACCTTATGTGCTAGGTGCTTGGTAAGTAGCGTCACCACGGACCCCAGCCACATTGGCAGCACCACAGACCCTGAGTAAAAAGAGGCTAAGACCCACCCACGTCTGGCTGTGCGTGGCGAGCCCGTGTCCGGGGAAAAGGGCATCCTGGTGGTTGAGCTGAACCCGGGGTAGGTTTGGACCCTTCGGGGCCCCCCGGGTGAGGCAACACACCACTTTGGCCCCCGCTTCTCGTAGACGGGTGTCCTGGCTTGGCCCGAATAGGATGATGCAGTCAGTCGCCATTTCTCCTACTATTCTCTCTCTTCTTTCTCTTTCCTCTTCTCTCGCCTTTTTTCCATTTCAAGTTCTTTGGCGGCAAGGGCTGACCTTGGATGGCGACAGACCCCCTGTCTAGTACCACACTGGGTTACAGTGCCTGGGCAGCGCTGATAGTGTAATGTCGTCAGCCAAGCCATTCTTGCTATGGCGCATTACCTATCCCCGTGTTGGGCTCCGTGGTGGGTGGCGCACCCGGGGCACCGAAGATCCACCCATTATTATGCGTTCCATACGAAACTTTCTTAGTCGGCCTCTGAAAAGAGGCCGCACCGAAGCTCTACTCCCTAAAAAAACACTATCTACAAATGAAAAATTTTCAGAAGTCCTCGTAATGCATTCAGAGACCGAAAAACCTCTTGCCAAACTGTCCCTATTCCTCGTCGCGAAGGTGATAGAGGGAGTGGTTGGAAAAGACTTTCATGCCAAGAAGATGTCATCTGGCGACCTCCTCATCCAGATTAACACAAAGCGACAAAGTGACGCCCTCCTAGCGCTAAACTTTATATCAGACTATAGGGTCACTGTCACAGCACACCGCACCCTTAACACTGTTCAAGGTGTCATCTCTCAGGATGACCTCCTTGATACGCCGGAGAAAGAAGTCGTTGAGGGGCTGGCCACGCAAGGAGTGACGGCTGCACGGTGGATCACCCTGCGTCGGGACGGCGTAGAACTGAAAAGAAAACATATTGTTTTAACTTTCGAATCGACCTCTCTTTCCGAAGTTGTTAGAGCCGGCTACCTCCAGTGCCGCGTCCGCCCATATGTGCCAAATCCGCTGCGCTGCTTTAAGTGCCAGCGGTTCGGGCATGGGTCGCGGAGCTGCCTGGGGTCCAACAAGTGTGCCAAGTGCTCTAGTAAAGAGGACGTTGCTGAAGCATTTGAGAGCGAACCTCTGTGTTCAAACTGTGAAGGTCACCACCCTGCCTATTCCAGATCCTGCCCTGTCTGGAAACAAGAAAAATAAATTCTTGCACTAAACATTAAAGAAAATATAAGCTACATTGATGCGAAGAAGCGCTTTGCGTTTGTCTCTAAAGGGTCTTATGCCCAGGCCGTGCACAGGGGTCCGGCACGGTAAATGGTGTCAACGGGAACGCAGACGTCTTCGGACGACCCGCGTCTCCTTTTAGGTCCCCCTTCCTCGGGAGCAGTGCCAGTTGCACTGCCTCCAAACCACAAGGTGGATGCTCCCTCATCAGCGTCCACCTTGGGAGCGGTGCCCATGACACCGCCTCCAAACCGCAAGGTGGATGCTGCTGCGTCAGCATCCACCTCAGGGCAGGATATAACCTCCCCTGCCCCACCTGCTGCTTCGGTTCCTCGGGGCCGGGGCCTTCAATCTCGGACCTCTGCTCCTCGGAGGAAGCCTGGGGAGCCCCCCAAGCAGTCGACCTCTGCAGGTCAACCTGAAGCCATTGCCTCCCCAACAGAGGAGCCAATGGATGAGAGCGTACCCAGATCTGACGAGGACTCCCTCCTCTTGGGATTTGAGTCTTCCTCTTGTGGTCCCGCTGGGAAACAGAAGGAAGCTACGAAAAAAATGCCCCGCGTATTAAGATAAATTTTAAGACCTGAAGATCCCTTTTGATCAGTATGTTCTCGTTTTTTTTTGTTTTGTTTTTTTCTTTCTTTTTCGCGTTTTTTAACTTTTTAATATTTGCTCTACTGTTCTTTAAATAATGAGTTTTATGCAGTGGGACGGCAGAGGTCTTTTTAGTAATTTGGACGATGTGAGGTTCTTGTTACACAAACATGAACCTTCCGTATTCTGTCTGCAGGAAACATATATGAAGCTATCTAATATAAATTTCCTTAAATCGTATCAGATATACAGGAGGGATCGCGTGACGACCTCTGGCGCTTCTGGGAGAGTTGCAATTATTGTAGACAGTAGTTTACCTGCCTGCTAAGTCTCCCTTAACCCTTCTCTGGAGGCCGTCGCAGTAAGGTTGCTACGAGATCGCCTCATTACCCATCTGCTCCAATTACACCCCTCCTTCATCATCCTTGGAACTTTCCCAGCTTGAAGCCTTAGCTGACCAACTGCCTGAACCTTTTATTTTAATGGTCGATTTTAATGCACATAACCCGCTCTGGGGTAGTGATCGGACTGACACCAGGGGTTCTGTTGTGGCACGGTTTTTGTCTCTTAGAGAAGTGTGTGTTTTAAATACTGGAGCACCAACATATTTCAGTTCTCATAACTCTCTTTCTTTTGTCTTGATCTCACTATTTGTTCATCTGCAATTTTTACCGACTTTACTTGGAACCTATTAGATAACCTTTTTGGGAGCGGCCTTTTCCCAGTGTACCTTACTCCGCTAGAAGTTCTACCTAGGCTTTCTTGTTGTTCTCCTCGTAGAAAAACCTCTTTAGCAGATTGGGAGCCTTTTAAGTCAAGCTTTCCTTCCTCTTCGGATCTTTCATAAGTGGTCTCTGTGGACGATGAAAATGCACTAATAACAACAGCAATCCTTGAGGCAGCCCGTTTGTCCATCCCACAGACATCCGGCAACCTGCCGAGACGCCCGAAGCCATGTTGGGATGATGAGTGTAGAGAATCCTGAAAGCGACAAAATTGTTCTTGTGGAAGGTTTAGAACAGGGGTGGCCAGGCTGACCCGGACTGGGAGCCGCAAACAAAACCACCAAACTTCTAAGAGCCGCGGGGGGGGGGGGGGGGGGCATATGTTTGTTTATGGCCTTTAGCCCAGAGCTTGCCCCCCCCCCCCCCCCCCCCCAAGAAACATACACAATGAACCAAAAATTAGAAACAGTTCAGTGAAGAGCGTGGCAGCTTTATTTATTTCATTCATCTCGGCTGCGGGCACAGTGAATTACACTAATGAAGCGGTTGCTCATTGTGTATCTGTGTTGGGCTTCCCCATTCGTAAAACAAGCCGCTTGAAGTTCGGCTCGAACGACGTCGTTGCGCTCCGGAGCAGCTCAGTCAGGTGGTCGTCCGTAAGAGTCGCGCGCTGTTTTGACTTCACCGCTTTCATTGTTGAGAACACAGCCTCGCAGCAGTATGTTGATCCAAATATGGAGAGGAGTTTCTGGCCCGCGAGCTTGACGTGGGGATACCTTGCTTCTGGCACCTGCCCCCAGAATACTGCAATTTTCTGAGACTGCAGGAACGTCTTCAGCCCTTCGTCTTCTTGTAGTTCAAGCAGTTCCAGTTCCAACGCTCCTACATCTCCTGCCAGGTTTTTCATGGCTGGACAGTAGACACTCAACACATCAACCATAAAAGGATTCATCAGAAGGGCAAAACAGGGCTTGAGTTGCTGCATATCTTTGAACCGGGAATGAAAGTCCCTCTCGAGTTCCTCGAGCTTTACGAAATATTCCCTGAGCTTAGCATCGGTCAGCTCAAACTCGGGTTCTGCATCCAGCATGATCTTCAGCTGCGGGAAGTGGATCAGGCGCTTTGTTTTCAGGTCGTTTTGAAAAAGTTTTAGCTTGTTTTGGAAGCTGAAGACTGTTTGAGCGAATTCCGATACTATTTTTTCTTTCCCTTGCAGCGACATGGTTAGAGTTTTAAGGTGCTGAACTACGTCAGTGAGGTAACCGAGATCAACACACCAACCTGCGTCATGAAGTTCAGGACATGGCTTCTCTTTCGCCTCCAGAAAAGCTTGAATTGGCTTAAGGAGATCCACAAACCTTGATAGTACGTTGCTCAGTGACAGCCAGCGTACCGCACAAAAAAACGAAACGTCGTTGGGCGCTTCATGAAGTTCCAGTTCTTCGAGGAAGTTGCGGAATTGCCGATGGGTTTTTGCATTTGATCGTATGTAGTTGACGACTCGAAGGACGGTGCTTATAACGTCTTTGTAGCTGAAGTGCTTCGCCACCAGGTGCTCGCGATGGATAATGCAATGAAATGAGAGAAAATCTGGAATGGTGGGATCGCTCCGCAGAAGACCTACCAAGCCCACATTCTTACCAAGCATAGCAGGCGCACCATCAGTGGCAATAGCGACAAGTTTCTGTAGAGGAACGTCGAACCTCTCTAACGTTGTTAACAATGCATTCTTAATGTCAACACCGCGAGTGGTTTCCTTGAGGGCAACCATGTCCAGTAGCTCTTCTCTCACGCTTTCGTCGGATGAGACATAACGGACGAAGATTGCAAGCTGTGGCTTGTCTTGTATATCCGTAGATTCATCAAGGGCTAAGCTGAATGCTTTGCAGCTGTTTAGGCCCTCTTGAAGCTTGTCGACGACGTCGGCGCTTAGCTGTGAAATGCGCCTTTCGACCGAATGTCGTGAAACTGGGACTTGGTTCACCAACCTTTGAAGATTCTTGTTGTTTGGATCCAACAATGCCACGACGTCGGAGATGTTAGTCTTCACAAATTCTCCTTCCGAGTAAGCTCGCTTGGTACGAGCAATGTTCCACGCGATTGCAAAGCTTGCTTCGGCTGCTACGTCAGATTCCTTGGTGAAGGTCTTCATCAAGCACTGCTGATTCTGAAGTCGGGATTTGAGCTGGGCCAGTTTGACTTTTCTCAAATCAGATGAAGCTGGATAGTCCCGAGAAAAGGTTTTGTGATTGGTCTCATAATGCCGTCTAACATTGCTTGCCTTGTGGTGCGAAATTGCTGCATTGCAGATGAGGCAGAGGGGCTTACCGTTTTTCTCAGTGAAGGCGAAACCTTCCTTCCACTCAAGAAGAAATGTCCGATGTTCGCCTTCGTACTTGCGTTTCTTGTTGGTAGCCATTGCGACGACGTCCGCAGAGCCTCGTCACAACTTCGCCAAGGGTGGTTAGACGTGGGCAAAAGTTAACTTCTTGTCTCGACAGAGCAGGTAGAACACCGTAGAGGCAGCTGGAAAAATGATGACCTCCTCGCATGGAATGCAGACAGTCATTTAGAACTTTTTTTATACTCCGTATGCACATGACTGCTTTTCCAATCGAAGCACGACCTTGATACAACAAACGTTTTGCCCTTCCATACAAGTGTTTTAGACACGCCTTCACTAACCGCTGGCTAGTCACCCCCTTCTCCCCCTCCCCGAAAGTAGAACAAAGCGGCCTGCGGGTCACAACTGTAAACCGGTAAAAATAATGAGAATGTTCTCGATCCTTTGTGAACTTGAACATAACACCCGTGACTAGTGGAAGCTATGAATGAGGTTAACCCGGGCTTCCGCGACCCTCAACAATAAACGATATGGGCGAAGATCCATTATCTCAAGGGGGCAAGTATCACCGGCAAGTAACAAAGGCCGCGAGACAGAACATTTCCTCGACCCCAAGCCAAAGTGCATGCATCGTTTGACAATCCCAGTCACTGATGCATTTCCCCCTAGGGTCCAGCAAACGCTCTCAAACAATGAAAGGAACAGGATCTCTGGAAAGATACGAGTGAAATGCGGTTCGACTGTACCTATGGTGGCACAAAGCTGCCAAAGTGCAAGCTAGCTGTTTTTTTTTTTTTATTCTGAATCATTTTCTTTCTTTCCTGGGAAAGGAGGAAAAAATGTCCTTCTTTCCCCAGGTAAGAAAGAAGGAAAGTGGCGGGAGGGCGGGCGGACCGGCCGGGGGGGGGGGGGGGGGGGGGTACCCTTATGAGGGATCCGCGAGCCGCACTTGGACCAGCAAAGAGCCGCGGTTTGGCCACCCCTGGTTTAGAAGGTATCCGACCTCCAGAAACCTCCTGGCATTAACACAGTTGCGGGCAAAAGCCCGCTATATCAAAAAACAGGCCAAAAAGACATCCTTTTGCTTGTAGGCATCCTCCATCAATAGTTACACACCGGCCAAGATTGTCTGGGACAGAGTGGGAAGAATGGAGGGCGACTACCGTTCTTTCTCGATCCCCCTGCTTTTAGCTGAGAATAGAGAAGCTTATTCATCGTTATATGAACAAGCCAATGCACTGGGTAAGCAATTTGCACAAGTCTCCAGTTCAGAAAATTACACTGCAGAGTTTCTACGGTTTAAGTCGAAATGTGAGAAAACTCTAAGTCGTATGTCAGATGATTGTACTGCAGAATATAACCGTCCCTTTTCTCTTGTCGAGCTTCGTCGAGCCCTTGCTGCTGCAAAACCCACATCTCCTAGACCTGATCTAATCCAACCCACTATGCTTTCCCACCTACCTGATACATTTCTTGTCACTCTCCTTCAGTTTTTTAACTTAATCTGGGCGAAAGGGAAGTTTTCCAGCTCCTGGAAACAGGCTGTGGTCGTTCCCATTTTAAAACAAGGAAAGGACAAGCAAAGCCACGAGCTACAGGCCAATTGTCCTCACTAGCTGTCTGGGAAAGACGTTTGAACGGCTGGTCAACAGTAGACTCGTCTACGTGCTAGAACGAAAGAAACTTCTAAGTAATTTCCTGTGTGGTTTCCGCACTCTCAGGTCTACTGTTGACCATCTGGTGCGCCTCGAGACGACCGTCCGGGAGGCTTTTGTAAATAGGCAGTTTTGTCTTTCGGTGTTTTCTGACCTTGAAAAGGCCTACGACAGCGCCTGGCGCTACGGAATACTTCAGGACCTCATCTCAATGGGCATAAAATTGAAAATGTTTAACAGCCTTTTCGACTTTCTGCAGAATCGTGGCTTTCAGGTACGCCTGGGGGTTACGGTTTCTGACCCTTTCCCCTAGGAGAATGGCGTACCGCAGGGCTGTGTCTTGAGCGTCACTTTGTTTATTATAAAAATGAATTCTCTGTCTCAGGTGATTCCGCCCATGGTCTCCCATTCTCTTTACGTTGACGATGTCCAAGTTTGCTTTTTTTCGTGTAATTTAGCTATCTGTGAGCGCCAAGTTCAACTGACGGTGTACAAGATGAGTAGGTGGGCTGATCAGAACGGTTTTCGGTTTTCCACCGAGAAAACCGTGGCGGTCTGTTTCTCTCGAAGGCGGGGAGTATTTTCTGCTCCATCGCTGTCAATCAAAGGTGCGCCTATTTTTGTTAGGTCAGAACATAAGTTCCTCGGTTTAGTATTTGACAGCAAGCTAACCTTTGGCTCACATGTGCTGGCTCTAAGAATTAAATGTCAGCGGAAATTAAACATTTTTAAAGTCCTGGCACACCGTTCTTGGGGTTCAGACCGTCTCTGCCTTTTACGACCTTATAGCGCATGTGTTCGTTCTATGCTGGATTATGGCAGCATTGTCTACGGTTCTGCTCAGCCCTCTACGCTTAAGACGATGGACCCGGTTCACAATCAAGGCATTCGTCTAGCAATCGGGGCCTTTCGAACATCGCCAGTGCTTAGCTTGTCTGCAGAGTCAAATGAGTGGTCGCTTGATAAACGGGGGTTTTATCTTGGCGCGCAGTACTATCTAAGACTGCGGACTCTCCCTCAACAACCAAATTTTTCTTTGACTAACGACATAAATTATGAACAGACCTTTCAAAACAAGCCGTCTGTAACACGTCCCTTTCTGCTCCGCCTGAGGGATGCCGCAGAGAAGTACAGCTTTGATATATCCTCTCCTGTTATCGAAACTCCACAGATTTGCTCCTTGGGACGATATAACCGTAGCATGCAACCTCTCATTACAAAGTACAAGAAGAGAGTTGTCGACTCCAGTGTTATAAAACAGTAATTCTTCGAGATAGCAAGCCGTTACGAGACCGGCAAGAGTTTCTTCACCGATGGGACGAAGGGCATTGATTATGGTGGATGTGCTGTAGTGGGGCAGTCCTTCCAGCATGTTAGACAAATTAACAACGAGGCATCTGTTTTCACTGCTGAGATTCTAGGGCTGGTATTAGCTGTCGAACAAATAATTAAACAAAAGTTTAGGAAATCCATAGTATATTCAGACTCGCTTAGTTGCCTCCTTGCCCTTGACTCAGCAACATCCTGGAACCACCCCCTCACTTCTCTACTCTGTGGTAAAATAATAAATGCCCGCAAGCAAAATATTGATATTCAGTTCTGCTGGGTACCCAGTCATATAGGAATACACGGCAATGAGGAGGCTGACCGAGCTGCACGTACATGTATAAACAGGTCCATTGAAACCCACGCCATTGCAGGTACTGACTATAGAACCACTCTGCGAAACAAAATAAAACGTTCCTGGCAAGTGGAGTGGAGCTCTGACTGTTACAATAATCTCTATAGTGTTAAGCCTACTTTGAGTAAATGGCGCAGTGCCAGACATCGAGAATGGTTTTATGAAGTTACTCTTTGCCGGCTGCGAATAGGACACACACGCCAAACCCACGGGTACCTCTTAAAAAGCGAAGATCCTCCAGTGTGCGATTACTGCTTTGAAACTTTAAGTCTACTCCACATCCTTCTAATGTGCCCGCAATTTCACAATGAACGCTGCACCTACTTCCCAATCTTTTTAAAATGCATATTCCGTTCCACCTGGCACTTTTGCTCGGAGACGAGCCTCTTGTCCCACATACAAAAGTGTTTAACTTCGTGAAAAATAGTGGTATTTTAAACCGCCTTTAGCAGAGTTTAGTAAAGTGAAATTTAGCAATGTATAATTTAGCCCCTGAGTCTTGTGATATTTACTCACCAGGTGTTTGGCGCACTATGGCCCGAGTTGCTGCTGCGCCAAAAAAACCCAAATTCATTCATACCTACATGCAGCACATGGCTGCGTGGCCGAGCCTCCAGGATTCTCCTCTGAAGTTGACTTGTTTCCTCGGAAAACTACCAGTGCGCGGGCAGCTTAAGATCAAGATGGCATTGGGAGACCAATCCAGGGAAGGAACGCTAACTGTCCTGGGCTTGTCCGGGCCCAACCTGTGTGGACGCGACCTCGTACGCGCACTCGACCTGCTGACGATGCCGGTACTCAGCGTAGCAACAGTAGGTGAGCCTTCGGCCTCCAGTTTCGAGGACAAGGTCAATCTCAAGGGTTTGCTAGACGAATTCGCGTAAGTCTTCGAGCCAGGACTGGGCCTCATTCAGGGGCCGCCCGCCCACCTTCAGCTTCGAGCGGACGCAGCTCCGAAGTTTTGTAAAGCGTGTCAAGCGCCGTACGCCTTACGCTCAAAGGTAGACGGAGAAATTGACCGGCTAGTGGAAACGGCGTTATCATCCCAGTTCCGCACTGCGATTGGGCAGCACCTGTTGGGGAGCGCGTGACGGTAGCATCCGCCTTTGCGGAGATTTCGAGGTCGCGCTTAACCAAGCATGTCGGACTGAGCAGTATCGGCATCGGCTTCCTTGAGTGGAAGATATTCTTGCAACGCTGAACGGAGGCGAAGTTTTTACCACGATCGACTTACGCGACGCGTACAATCAGCTCCGGTTAGATAAGGCATCTTTGCTACTCACGTTGCGAATACGCAGAAAGGTCTATTCTGCTTTGCTCGTCTTCCGTTGGGCATCGCGTCAGCACCAGCGTTGTTCCAGTGGCGTATGGAGTCGATTCTTCAAGGCCTATCGGGAGTCCAGGTCTATCAGGATGACGTTATTATCGCTGAGAAAAATACTGACTGCACTATACTTAGGAAAGTATTGCAAAGATTTCGCGAGTCGGGGGTACGGTTGCATCCAGGGAAGTCCAAGTTTCGACAGACCGAGGTGGACTCTTTGGGGCTCCGGATTAGCAATCTGGGGGTGCAACCTAAGACAGAAAACATTGATGCAATCCTCCAAGTTAATGCGCCCCGAACAGTAGCCGAAGTAAGGACTTTTGGAGCGCTGGTGACTTACTACCACAAGTTCCTCAAGAACGCGTCCTCTATCATGGCGCCGTTGTAGGAGCTTCTCCGCGCGGAGGCAAAATGG